ACATGTTTCCTAGCAAATTTCAGTGAAATGTTTGAGTATTTTTTAAAGCTTGAATTAGTATTCAGTGTAAGAGAAGCGGGTCCTTCTAGTATCTACGAGAGGCGCGCTTTTAAAGGAGCCTCTGTTATGGGCGGAGTTTCGTTTCGGAATGCCCTATTTAATGACATATGCTTACAAAAGAATAAGAATACTAGAAGTTTGTCGGCCTAGAATTTCACAGAGGTAGGTTTTTTTCACTTCAGGAAACATATGCATGGTAAATGTGTTTGTATAAGCTTGCTAACTGTTATTTCCAAGTAATGGAGCTTTTATTTTTCTGCTTAATAAGTGCAACACATTTTAGTGGTCATGTACCTCCGCTTAACTTTTTGCTCCATGTCGTGGGAAATGTCTTTATGGATATACGTTAGTTACGCAGATCATTGTCTAAACAGAATTTTGTTTAGATTTTGAAGTCATTTTGAGTTTAGTGTGTTATATTGACGGTCCTTTCGAACTTATAACAGCCGAGAGTTTCTCCGTACTTCAATAACGTGAGGTGTGTTATTGTCGTTGAAATCAATCAAACCGAGTCTGCATATGTAACCTAGTAGAGTGGATAAGTAATGTCGAGTTTGAGCGATCCGCTCATCGATCTAAACTTTTTGTACTACTACTGATCCAACGGGTGTTAATCTTATTTTGTCCAGGCATGCATTTGATATGATGAAGAGAATCTGAATTTGAAATGATAGTTTCACTCTTATTATCAAGCTTGTAAGTTTCTATTTACTTGAAAATACCCAAGTTTGGGGGAGTTGTGTAATAAGAACTGATAACTTAGTTCATCAATTGACTGTCTACGGTATCACAACTCTAACCTCCTAATTCTCAACGTTTCACTTTAAGTGAACTAAAAGTCCCTTTTACATCACACAAAGCGAACAACCAAGACGTATGTTTTCTTTCCAAATTGCTCTCGTCTTGTTTACTTGTTCTTTAATAAGTAGAACTTCGAAAGCTAAATGCTAACGTTTCAAATCCAACTTCTAGACCTTGATGGCGAATCCCCTTTCTTTAAATCAAACTGGTAAGGTGTACCAAAAATGATCGTAATTACCTAGTCGTTGGCAGCTCTTCTTTTGCACCACAAACACTAAATTTAGAGGAAACTTGTGTTATTTTACATTTGAAAGAACAAAGGCTCTGTAATTCTTATCTTGCCAAAAGTCATTGAGTGACTTGCTTCTGATTGATCATTTCAAGGGCGTCAGAATTCTTCGACATCTACATCTTTCAGTAAATTAGAGAAGTGAATATGCCACGAAAACTCGCAAACTGTATTGTTCAGGATGTGTGCATCACTGGTAAGTTCTGGAGTGCATCTAGATCAAATAGGTCATTACATTTTTTCGATTTCAATCTGCAGAATTGGTGGCCATGAATGCAAATGCGGTTGCGTAGTCTAACTAGTGAGCTTCAAGTTTCACGATGTACGATAAGTTGGTGAGATTTTCGATACCGAATAATGAGACGATTGGATTAGAGGTGCATTTACGTTTGCTTAAGTATTGATAAACGTTTTGTTTGATATAATCTTATTGCCTGTCATTCATTATTAGTAAGTTGGCATGCCTAATTTTCACGTTAAATGCTTATTTATGACATCTTGCGTACGTAACTATGAACTTTTCATCTTTGATTAACAGATATAAATGTTATAAAGGATACTGTGTCCAAGTATCATTACTTATTACGTCCACTTGCGTAACCCTTAATCATATAGTCACGTTGTATAAATTTGCAAAGTATCCATTACCATTTCGTTTCTTTTCATAACATTATACGTACTTTAATATATTCTCGTCTTGTCAATCTTATGAAATTTCTGTCGCAGGTCCTTTGATTGTTCGTGACTAGTTGTCTAAAGTGGGAAATCGTGTAGTCACTAGTAGTGTTGAAAGTAGAAAGTTATAAATCTGTACTGATTGAGATAACTAGGACGTGTTATTTGTTGCTAATCACTGTTTACCCACAAAATATCAAGTAGGATTAATTTAGAGGACTAAGGGCCTTCAAACCAATAAGAAACACCAATCTGCACAACTACTGGCTGCTAATCTGAGCCATGTAAGAAAGTGTACATAACCTATCTGGTGCTCCTAAAATGTTGCTTTCAGTGATGCTTTAAGCTTAGTCACTTGCAAAATGTATCTTATTCCTACGTATTTATTAGACCGTACCGTTTACAAACAAATTCACTCGATCTAACTGCGAACAGCGTCACAGGTTCCTACTATGATTTGGTGCCATTATGATTATCAAGTTGACTCGAGCTATACTTACGTACTTCCACTATCGACCTAAAAATAATGATGATTCGTGGAAAGTTAAGCCTTACCAAGAGAGCTTAATGCAACCAAACACAACAGCTATTGTATTTTTCTTTTTCTGAGGACTGTCCAGAATTTAAGTTCATCAGTGGTTTTCAGAAATCGTATTCGGTGGTAAATCCTTGTTGGATAACTTTTCGAAAGAATGAAAATGAACACAAGAAAGTGACAGCAAGCAGTTCATTCACTAGGCTGTACAGCCGCATTTATGTGCAATTTTTTGGTCAATATATTTGAAAACATTTAGTTAAGCAATGATACAAGCAAAGCACTACATGTAAAAATCGTTTTCATCCCAAAACAATCAAAGTATTTATGACTTGAGAAGAAATCAAAAGGCATAATAACAAGAAAAGTTAAATTGTTATGACCTGAAGGTGCTGTATTGCTTAGATTAGTGAGTATTGTTCAGGATATAGAAATCAAGTAAGGATGATTAGATTTGAATAACATGACAAAATTCTGAATGAATGAACTGTTATCAAGGTTGATATAGGAACAAGGGATAGTTGATAATATACATGAAATGAATGGGATGAAAGATTTAGAAGGGGGAGGGGAACGCTAAAGATCGAGACCATAAAACGATCAAGTGTTGAAGAAGTCTCTTTCGTATGCATAGCTCTGGCTATTCTGTTTGGATTGCAAAAGCTTCAGCACTGCGAAAGAGGCGGATCCTCACTGACTTTGGCAGGTTTCTTTTCAATTTGTAGATAACTTTGAGAGAGTTGAAATTGAATGACCAGTATCGACTAAGTGTTACATTATTGCACTTCTCACAGATCCGCTACTACCTCTTTGTAGCTATGCAAAATAATGTTCTTGAACCCTTCCTGACTGGATCTGCGTGGAACGAGCTATATACCTCGCTCCACAAAAGGAAGTAAACTGATACACACAGGTGGCCAGATACGTGATCTTGTTTCTCAGGTTATTGCTAGGTAAAGAGCTACCAGAAATCAATAATCCAAGTTGAAACCCTTCTCTTTTGGTTGTTAGCAGTTGAATCACCTTTGAAGTGAAGATTCGTATGCAGCATCACTTTCGGTGCAGAAATTAAGTCAAATATTGGTGGTTTCAGCTTGCTGTTTTTATCTATGGACCGCGATAAACATCTGTTTTTGACCAGAATGTTTCTTAGAATACTTATCACTTCATATGTAGCATCTGGGCTGTAAATGCGTCGAGGTCTAGTAGCAAGTGATATACCTAAATTTCTCTTCTGATATTTTTGCCAACATGCTAAAAAGACTGAAAAACAATCATTTAGTTAACAAAAATTCTTATGGGAGCATTAAACCAACAAGTAGAGCAAATCTTCAACAAGGCAGCACTGCAAATGCTTAATTTTCACGTATATTCTGCAGGGCTAGTCAAACGGTAATGTCGAAAACATTGTTGAATGGTTTCCTTTCACAGTGCATAGAATATCTCATTTTAATTCCACTTTATGAATCAAACCTTAGCCAATCGTACGCTACCGTTGTTCTTCACACAATAACAATAATATACAGTGCAGACTGAACCTGTACATGTTTGTCGGGCTATGCCCGCTGATAGTAATCGTAATCGCCAAAATAAAAGTAGTACCACACAGCAAGCTAGTAAAGGTTTATTTGTTGAGCTATAAAACGTGTTTTCATGATTTATGTTTCTCTTCGATTACCTAGGTGGAAACAGGTAGGAAGAGGCTGAAACTTGATACGCTGCTTTCAAGTTGAATGTTTAAGCTAATGAACTACATCTCCATTTTCCTATTATTTTTTGGTAAAAATACTCATACCAACAAAAGTAGTTATATAAGTAAGTTTTAATATTATCCCAGTGTCTTTAGAAAATCGAAAAGATTTTCCAAACCCGCTGGGATTATACTAAAACTTACCTATGTAATAAATCAACCTAATTCGGCGCTCAACTTCTTTCAGGACATTTGTAGTAACTATGGCCTGGATGTTTGTAAGTAGTTATTACCAGTTCTATGACTTACTAATCGAACTTTTGGGAGTGATAGTCTGATTAATGTACAGTCCTAGATACTTTGACCTGACTGGATCAGTATGATAAGCGTACTTGCAAAATAATCAATAAGTCAAAATGTGTTGTGGCATTACTACCTATCGGTTCAATTTGCTATGCCCCATATCAGCGTATCCAGCGAGAACGTTTTATATTTTGGAAAGTTGATGATCATTTTAAGGGATAACGTTTTCTAAGGTTTTTAAAACCTTCAGATTCACAACCGTTAGTGTTCTTCACTTAAAAATAAGTTTGTTACTAATGGAATTTATTTAGATCTTTTACTGTGCAACTAATGTATAACTGATTATTCTTATGTGATTTTCCTGTCATCGTCTACCCATTGCACATCTTACATAACCACGTAGAAATTTGTATAATTTTTCTATTTTCTCCTAGGCAATGTGCGACAAACCTTTTTTCTATAACCCCGACATCGACACAAAGATTGCTGGTCTATATGATTTACAACATACTATCGGACGTGGACATTATGCAGTCGTAAAACAGGCACGCCATGTGTTCACGGGTGAGAAGGTTGCTGTAAAAGTAATCGATAAAACTAAACTGGATAATATTTCCCGAGATCATCTGTTTCAGGAAGTTGTGTGCATGAAACTTGTTCAACATCCCAATGTAGTCAGATTATATGAAGTTATCGACACACCAACTAAGTTGTACCTTGTCCTCGAGCTGGGAGATGGGGGAGATTTGTATGATTACATAACAAGTCATGGTGATGGTCTTAGTGAAAAAGTTGCAAAACGGTATTTTCGCCAGATAGTTACTGCTATTGCCTATTGCCATAAGTTGAGAGTGGTTCACCGAGATCTAAAGCCAGAAAATGTGGTATTTTTCGAGAAGTTAGGTTTGGTAAAACTGACGGATTTTGGATTTAGCAATAGGTTTATTCCTGGCACACATTTGGATACAGCCTGTGGTTCTTTAGCTTATTCTGCTCCGGAAATATTGCTTGGCGATTCGTATGATGCCCCAAAAGTGGATATTTGGTCTCTGGGTGTGATATTGTATATGCTCGTTAGCGGAAGTCTTCCATTTCAAGAAACAAATGATAGTGAAACATTGACAAAAATCATGGACTGCGACTATTCTATGCCTTCACATCTGTCACCAGAATGTAAGCGGCTAATATCTCGTTTGTTGATACGTGATCCACAAAAACGCGCTCATCTTGATGATATCGTACAGGATGATTGGTTGAGAATTGACGGCGAGGACTTACCTATTGAGTTATTTTCTGTCCCATTAATATCACGTGAACATCTTTCGTTTGAAGATCATATGGAAATTTTATCCAAAATGGCTGAGGGTAAATTAGCATCTGTGGAAGAAATACAATCTACTTTAGATCGCAATGAATATAATCACATAGCGGCTACATATTATTTACTTGCTGAACGTAAACTAAAACGTAACTACATCGAAGAATATAAACGATTAGTAAATCAATCCCAGTTGCTTGAGAAAAGAAAACAACAGGAACAGCAAAAGTGCATCAACTGTGCTTTTGCACTGTCTGAAAACTCCAAACAGGGACAAAGTGCTGAGAACAGTAATGCTGCTAAATCTCTACTAAATAATGTGATAGGTTCAGGTGCTGGAGCATCTACATCACGTATTTTGAACTCTTTAGTTCCATCAAATGTTGAGGATCGAGTGAGACGTTTCAGTATGATTTTAGAAGATGAAGAAGAAGAGGAAGAAAGTAAAGGCTCCCCAGTAGTTTCCTCATTATTTGGTAAGTGCGCTACAAGTATGAATGATTCGGTAAGTGGAGTTGGCGATTCGGGTGGTGTTCACTCTTATCTTGCTGATACATCAGAAGAAGCGATGTTGGAAGAGGAAGAAGAAGAACTTGCTACCGTAGCAGGATTGGTATGTGTTCGGTCTGAGCTCTTAACTGAGCAGATGGCTAATAATGTGTTGAGTATATCGGAGTCCGAATGCGTGCCGCATGCCTCTGGCTCTGTAGTACCGACTCGCCCCTGTTCAAGAACAAGTGGTTCTGGTGCTGAAGCGTCTGATGGCGCGGAGTCAGATGTCTCTCTTAGTCCTTGGACTGCAGGTGGGGCAAGTTTTGTTAATTCCTTGAATCGTATTACTTCTACAACACGTTCCCTACCACCTGTTGATATCAGGAGGAAGCACCCCTACAGAAAAGCTTTTGTATCACATCGTCCCCTTACCACCGTAAAGAGTAGTCCACAACTTTTAAAACATATTGCTGAAGAAGATTGGAATAGTACTAATTCTTTCGAAACTAATGGTTCCTTCAATTTGGATAAAGGTAGGAAGAAACTAGATGAATGCCGTACTCAAAATCCGTCTGCTTATTCAACAGCTGAAGATGGAGTAGCGATTCGATCTTTGCGTAGTTCCTATAATCTGTATCGTAGCATCAGGTATGTGGATGATCAACTAATTGGATTGAAACCTACAAGTTCGTCTGGCACTGCGACACAACAAACATATTCTGGAGCTCACAGTCCTGCATGGACACGGAGATTTTTAATACCCCTGTCTCGTCTCGCCCGGCAAGTATTGGTAGTTGGAATGCTGTGCTCAATATGAGCTTACTGAGCGAGCAGCGTCGCCCATCATTTTGTTCTTCTCCTGTTGAGCACCAAACGGGTGGTGTTAGTCGAAGGAAAGTTCTTTATTTAAATCATGGTCAAAACCCACACTTGTTTAGCAGAAGCGTTACTGCCGACCGAAGATGCAGTGGACCTCCGGGTTTATTGTTAGCTGTTTCAGGTATGTATCATTTGGGTTCGATTGCTCCACTACCTAGCCGTTCAGGCTCAGATACCTCATTTTTAGATCGTGATTCGAATCCTTTACCTGCTACAATCGAGAACCCATTTCCTACGGAAGACTCTTCGGTTCTCGCAGGAGAATTATGCCTTCAAAATGGGACTAGGTGTTCTGACGCCTCCAAAGAAATAAGTGATCTTCAGAGAAATAACCCTCGTTATCTTATATCTTCAGTTTCCGGTGTGAGCAGAAGAGGTTCCACTATATCTCCTCATCGTGCTCTTAGTACTTCCCGTAAAACTGCTAGCTGGTGTAGCTCTGCACCTATTTTGTGCGAAACATCTGAACAACCACACTTGACGTGTGTGCCGTCAAATGGCCACGGATTGACAGTCATATCACCCGAAAGCAACTGTCAGTTGAGCAGTTCAAATGCGATTCGGGAGCAATGTACGCCGATACGTGAAGAGGATGATGAGGCAGCGCGCTCTGGAGAATCTCCTTTGTATAAAACATATGACTTTTTAACTGGTTTAGGTAATCGAAGGAGGTCTGAATCTTCTAGTATGCAAACAAACTCAGCTATTTTCACAGCTTCTAATATAGCTCGTGTTGCATTCGCCACTTTGGCTGAGTCAGAATCAACATCAACTATTAGTCAGTTGCCAAATATAGGCTCCTATCCGAACCACTGTGGTGATGCTATGCAAAATGGAAGTGGTTCGCGATGCACTACATCCAATTTTTCACTAAGCTCCTTGGCAACGAGTTTACGAGATTCACGCTATATGATTGACATAATACGAGGAACATTCGAGTTACAGTGTCAGTATAATCGTAGGTTTACAAATTCTATTGCAGGAGTTAGCAGTGGAGAATATAACTCCGATCGAGCTAGTACCTCTACATCGATGCGTAGCCTTACTGCTATATCTGAAAGCTTTTTTATGAATAATCAATTGAAAGACGACTTTATTCCACGTGATTCACACAAATTCCCTCTATATGATGGAAACCTGTCACATCTTTCTCCAGAATCTATATCAAAAGCTTCGTCTACTTCCCATACAGTAACACATCCTGTGAATGCTTCCTTCAATTCAGATTCAGTCGGTAAAAGTTCATCTCAGTTGACTAGAATCAGCTTACCAGCTAATATAACTGAAGCACCCAACACAGAAGTTATCACATCAACCAGTCCTGTTTTAGATAGCAATGTGGGCAACTTTTCCTCTTCTTTTTCTCTTGAACAAAATTCACCGATAAGATTTGGGAATTTTTCTCATAACAATCATAGAAATGGATCCTGTAAATCTACTAATCACTCAAATATTATGCCCAAGTATTCTCCACATATGTTATCAGAAGTTGAATTACCTAAGAATTCGAATTCCAAATGTATTTTAGACAAAGATTACAGTATAGTGGTAAATATGAGTCAACAGATCAATAATAATAACAATGACAATAATACTATAAATAACTCTGAGATATTCAGTAGTGGAGCAGTCAACTATTGGACGCATAAAACCAATGGACCGAATCACAAGCAAGTATCACCTTTAGCTTTTGGAAAACATAAAGCTAGACTAACTTGTTGCTCACTTTCATGAAATTAACTTAAAAGAGGATAACAATCCTGTCTGTCTTCCATCACATACTTATGTGTATATTTACGTTGGCTCCCAATTGGATAAATTGCATCTTAGAAAGTCATAGTTGACCTATCATAGTTTTTTCCCATATCATAATTTCGATTATTTTGCATTGCCAGTCTTATTTCTAGTATGTAGCAATGCTTTTCAGCTTTTGTATGTATTATGATACTTGTTACATAGTAACAGTACACTTTTTCGTCATTTCTTAAGTCTTTGTTGTCATGATCTATTATCTTAACTATATAGACCATGATGCTGCTTTTATCATTAGCATGCATTCATTCAATTAGCTTATCATCAATGTATATGATGCATTGGCGTATAAATACTCTTGCACATACACAACAGAATATTTCAGTTCATCAATATCTATGTATCTATCATATTGTTGTATCACTAACTTTTTCAACAGTAGTTTAAGCAAAACATGGGTGATAGCAATAATAGATCAGTGTTCTCTATTTATTGTGATTGCTTTTCATTCTTTCACCAGTAGTGTTGAGCATTTTATTCTTGGAAACTCGGTTTTTTTTAAACTTTATTCTATTGTGTATATGTGTGTACCGCATATCATGGACGCAGGCATAATTTATGCTATACACACTCAGATATTGTCAACTTTTTCCCTTCTTGTCTATTCTCTTTCTTTTTTTGTTGTTGACCATTCTACTGTAAATACACGTGTTTTATATCATCTAGTCAAATATTATAATTGAATTGAGCACTATCCAACTGTGTCCTTCTTTTTATCTATCTCTCCATTTACCTTTCTGTGTAAATATTTATATCGTTTGTCTTTATCATAATCCCGGTTGATTTTATTTTAGCTTGCTTTTCAAAGCTTATATATAAAACGCATAATACTGATGTATTATTCATGTGACTTGTGTTTACTTGAATTTAAAGATGAGAAGATCATTTCACTATTCACTTATTTAGTATATATATATATATATATATATATATATATATATATATATATATATATATATTATGTATATAATAACATTAATACATTTACTTATCTAATCATCATACGTATGCTTATCTGATATATTGTTTAAGTTAATTCTGATATAAATTTTAATTACACTCTGGTTAATAAAAGTCATAGTTACTAGATTGACGAGTTGGTGGTAATCACTTCACCACTTAAATGTCATTTATCAATTGAAATGGTTTTTGGTAGACGTTTCAAAGATAGGCTAGTCATCATATTCGCTTGTGTATATGTAAAGATGTACCGGAGATGATGATGTATATATTGTTATGAAACGTCATACATCGTCATCCTCAACGGATTGATAATGTTCTTACTTTTGATCTAGAATTCTCTGAAAGATTTCAACGTTGTCAATTTCATCCTGTCAGTTGTGTACACTAATTGTTTATGTTTGTGTATAAATAGGTGTTTTTGAAAGATTTAACAGAAAGAGATAGAAAGATATCTGCCAGTGATTTTTAATCATTGAGTAATGGGAGTGTATTATACACTTGCCTAAAGAGCTAATTTCCCGTGGAGCTAAATATGGACAGTAAAGACTTATCTAATGCTTTTCATACAATCATGTACTTTTGTATGGACGAAATGCACTCAGCTATCTTGTGCACGTCCGTGTAGTAGGTGGTGGGTTACACTTATTGTATGAGGGCTAATGATGATACTACCTGGCTGCCCAAACCTTGGTAGGTAGAGCAGGACTCGAACTCATGACCCAATGGTTGATAATCATATCCCTAAATCACTGAATCATAGCTCCGTATAAAAAAAGCTTCATGCGGTATCTTTGATTGAACTCCAGGTGATTTTTCTAAAGATATATACAGGAAAAGTATTTTTAGTATGCGGTAACTCCAGTATCGAGTGCTTTGTCCACTTCACTACTGTTAACTTTCTAGATACTCAAGTTACACGTTGTTTAGTGATTGCTGAATTTAACTTGTTTTCTAAAGTAATTTGTGATACTATTTGATATTACTGGCACGGTTAAAGACAGTTGTATGACTCTTCAACTTGGCATATACGAAACGCCTTCAGTATGTATACGTTTCTTATTGGATACATTTTTCTTGATGCAAATCATTATGTATCTATTTTGAGGTTAATGGGGATTTTTTTCAAGGTAGTATTCATAACGGACTGAAATCAGTTGGAGAACCGTTAAAAACCTGGGAACACTGGACAGCTGTTTCGTCCTAGTGTAGGACTCTTCAACAGTGCGCAACCACCACCCCGACTCTCCAGGGACCGAACTCAAGACCTTCAGGTTCCACGGCGAACGCATTAACAATTCATCCAATGGGTCGGGTTGAGTTCATTGCTTCTGTCAATTCGCGACATAACGCAACTATCACGCAAGGTCTTCAGATGGCATCCGTTCCCCTTCCGAGTAGTTGACCCCACAGGTCACGACTTCTCATTAGAACTCCCGGATACCCATCTGGAAGCATGACACTAAGAAGCATTATATAGTAATGTATTTGGAGGTTAGTGGGGATTTGCTTCCCATAAGATTTGTTGCTTTACCCTAGTTTGGCTCTACTCAGCACACAGTAAGTCTTGTCTTCAGCCTTTAGAAAGCTGAGGTTGCAAAGATTTGAGCTTGCGTTACTAAGTTGTAACAGTTATTATCGGGTAGTTGTCTAAAATTTTAGTTGGCAGTATTTTTAATAGTAAAACCAAGTGGTGTGAGTCCAAATTTCAAAGGGGAACCCAACTTTACGGAGTTTCAAATGGTTAATTAGAAGCTTGAAACCTTGTTTCAATTTAACAGTTTTGTATCTCTGTAGACCTTGTAGTTTTAAACTCCTTTACAGTATATATATATATATATATATATATATATATATATATATATATATATATATATATATATATATATATATATATATATATATAGTCCCGAAGTTCTAATGAAAATCGTGACCCTTGGGGTAAACCAAGTTGGATATGAGGATAAATACTTTACAAAAACAATGGATAATTATTGGGTTATATCGTGAATTGACAGGAGTAAGAGAATGTGGACTATCAGATTTCAACCCATTGGCTGAATAGTTGAAGTGCTCGGGTCGAGACCTAGTAGTTTCGAGTTTTATCCCTCGCAGGATCATAGGTGTGCACTACTGAGTCCCATACTTGGACAAGGCAGATGTCCAGTGCTCTCAGCTTTTAAACGGCTTGCCAACCGATGTCAACTGGTGACGACTGTTATTGTGTCCAACATCCTAGGACCCATAATTATCCGATGCCTAACTGGAGCTCGAGAAAACCAGGCAGGTTTTAGACCTGGACGAGGGTGCATCAGTCGTATTTTTACCCTATGACAGGTTCTGGAACATATGCATACCTACGGGCCAGCTACCGACACCTGCCATATTTCTTGATTTGGAGGTGGCATTTGACTCGACTGTGAGGTGTTGTGGCAGTGTCTGACTATTTTGTAAGAATCGAGTAAGTATGTAACGCTAATCAAAGATCTCTACTCGAATTCACGCTGCTGTAGTGGAGAGTTGTTATGCGAATTGATGACAACTAGTGGTGTCCAGTAGGGCTGCTGACTGTTATCGTCTGTATTTAACTTCGTTATTGACGTATTAACAGATTTAAGGTTAGGTATGTCTGACTTCATAGAGATTCGCCCACTCCGTGCAGGTCATCCGGTTGACTTGGAGTACGCAAACGATATTGTCTTGCTAGGTGAAGACACTGAAAAAATTCAGTCTTCTCAACGCGTTGCGAATACGTTTGGCATGCGTTTCGCACCAGTCAAATGTATGATGATGCTCCAGGACTAGTCTTCTGCAAGTACTCCCAGGTTATTGATAGAGAGTGAAGTACCTGGATGTATGGACCAATCCACTTACTTGGAGACTTGCATCAGCGTGATGGAGTTGGTCGCTGATGAAATCTTAGCTCGGTTGCAGAAGGCCCGATTGATATTTGTCTAGTTGCTTCACTTAAGGTGCCGACTGGCGAGACATTCAACTATCTTTCACATGAAGCGTATACTGCGCTGCACGGTGGCCTGTCTTGTTGTACGACTGTGAGACAAGGCTGTTGAAAGTAGTTGACATGAAGCGGTTACTAGATTTTGATCAGCGATGTCTTGGTAGCACTGTGTGAGCGACGTTGAGGGCAAGTGAAGAGTACTAGGCAAGGCGATTGATGGGGTTGTGAACCTTAGTCGACTGACGTGCCATGAACATGTACTGCATGTGCCTAGCCACCGCTTAACTCGAAGTGCCATACTAGGAGAAGTTGGACTAGGTTGGGAGAGGGTTCAGGGTGGCGATAGTCGATGAAATTCCTAACTGCTAGTCTGAGCCGTCCAGGAAGATGTTGACTACCTAGCTAGAATTCTCGAGATAACAAGAATCAGTGGTTGAAAACTATTGGTGAAATGCCTGAAGATCGGTCACAATTACTATTATTTATCCTTTGGGTTCCTAGTGAACACAAGGCTTCAGTAGCACATCACCATTTCACTCTGTTCTCTGCAGCCTTTTCAACCTGGCTCCACGACTGCCTGTAAGCTTTCATTTCATCCTCACACCATCTCCTTCATGTCACCGTCGGAAGTCTAATTCGTCGTTTTCCATTTGGGTTCCACTCGACGGCTTGGCCTGACGCGTGTTCTCAAATCGTCTTCTCAGTGCATGCCCAATTCAACCCATCTCCACTTTCTTCTGCATATTTGTTGGGTGATAGGTTATTGGTTGGTTGGTTCGTTGCCAGCCAGTGTTCTTTTTGCTTGTTGTTCTTATTCGAGCCATCTGATCTCCATCTTCAGTATCGAGCGAGCGTAGGCGGCAGCTGTTGATGTATGTCTGCAGTTTGTTGGAAATGCTTTTCGTAACGCACCAAGTCTGTGAACCATCACAGAAGCACTGACATTACTGTTAAAAATCCGGATCTTGCTCTCTGTGCTGAATGGAGTGTAGTGCAGAGGATC